TATCTTTTTTAGTAGGGAAATGAAATGTCTTTATATCAAGAGTCGAGTGTTATCTGATTGAACAATTAATTAGTATGGATTTTTCGTGTCTGCTTACTCAGCGCCTCCTTAGTCACATTTATGGCTTGCGCTCTTTTATTTTGGCAGATATTTTAGCATAGATAAGGATCAGCAGTCAGCGAAAAAAGAAAAAGAAACTTAAAATTAATTCAACGTTTAAAATAAAATCGCTGAGTATTTTTTATGACAATTCGTTTTCGAGGTGCGCTGGTGTGCGACACTCTGGCATCGACAGAACTTTCCCAAGTCCACGTGTTTGGATTCGCCAAACTAACTAACAACATCCAAATTCGAGACCGAAAACTCAAAACTGGTAACATTAAGGCATTGAAATATCTGTGAATAACCGTTTCCTCTATTCCGCTAAGTGGTCCGGCAACTTGTCAGCGTGATAACAAATTCAATAAAATGAAATTAAATACTCAACAAAAATGCTAATCACCGCAAGAGCTTCCCCGCCTCCTTAATTTAAAAGGAGAAATTGTTGAGGTGGCAGAGGAGTTTTTACTCTCCTCCTTGAGCTGGTAAATTTATGTAACAAAAACAAAAAAAATGTAGAGGAGTAAACAACAAACTTGGTAGTAGGCGCAAAAAAAAAAAAAAAAATACCAAAATTTAGATAGGTGTGGCATTTCAAATGGTTCGACGCCTCTCAAAGTGACGCGGCCCCAGGTTGTTCTTGTATTTTTTTTTGTTATTATTATTTTTTTTTTTTTTTGTAGTTGTCGATTTTGTTGCTGCTTGGCTGATTTCCCCCTAAGGTCTCCGTCGCAGACTCAGACTTCAACTTAAGGAAAGACTTGGATTATGAACGACTGAAATATGCAAATTTATCTACAAAGTATCCACACATGAACTTCTACACACGAATATATGTATATATAGAAGTGTGTATGTATATGTATTTGTATAAATTTATACAGCATTTTGTTGCTGCTATATTTTTCACTCATATATTTTTCTTGAATTTGCATAAAAAGGGTTTGAGTAGCTGAAGATTAACAGACAACGAAAACAACTATAGGGTGTGTGATTGGGATGACGGTGCCGATGACCAAGCCTCTGTCACGGGGTCACCATTAACTTATCTATATAAAAACTCTACAGAAAATAAAATAATCCAACGAAAGTATTAATTATTAATGAAAAAATTAATTATACAGCAGCCAAATGAGATAAGAACTGCATATGCTTAAATCGTTATTTACGATTTTAGTTTCAAAATAGGTAAAACCATAAAGTGCTGTTTTTATTATAAATACAACTAATTATTGTTTTAAGAGAGTGCTGTCATTAGTACGATAATAGTTAATGATTTAAGCTATTTATATTTAAAGCGGTTTTGCAACTTGAATATAACACATATTTATTAAATGAAATTCAAGTGACTTTTCATGTCAATAGTAGGTGCTCATCTCATGCTCAAAATAAAGTTATTTTTTCATTTAGTTCGACAATAAAATGAGTTGAACTAAAAAGTTAAAAAATATATACAATTAAATAATAACCTAACTTTAAAAGCACTGTAAGTTAAGTCAACATTAAGTGTGGTTTTCTTGTTCTCAGGTTTTTGCATTTACCTTATCCCCCAGCCAAGGAGTTATCTAATTTATGCAAATGCCATTATGGGTATTACCTTATAGATTGCAGATTACGGCGATCGTTTACTTATCTAAATGCCATTTGACAAGAGCCAGCAGCAGCGGGATCCATTTGCTGACGCAGTTACCTTTCGCATGTAAAAGTATCTCGATGGCAATGGGTAATGGGAAATCTTGCGGGAAAAGGGGGCTAGAATCTACACCTGTTGCCAGTGCGTTTGATGTAGGAAGCAGAACTTTACTTCCTGGTTGCTCGTCGTCATCGTCGTCGTTCATCTGGGTTCATTGGCATTTGAGCATTTGAGTCACATGTGGCTCACGTCCTGTATAAGTCCTGTATCCGCACCTCCCCGCCAGAACCTCCGGTTCTGTTCGGTTCCTTCAGTTCCTCCACTAAGCCTGTCATCTGGGCTCTTTATTTTTTTTTTTTTTTTTTTAGCCGGAGCCAAAGACAAAAGACGTTTGAGGTTGATGACACCCAGTGGCGGCTAAAAACAAAAAATAAAAAATACAAGGAAGCCCATAGAGGTTGGCTTTTACAGTTGCTTGAACTAGTTCTGCCTCCCTCTTGCGCTGCTCCCTCTCTCTCTCGCTCTCTCGCTCCCACTCTCGCTCGTTGCGTTAAGGCACGTGGCCAGAACCAACAGAAGTTTGAAAAAGGGGCGCAACTTTTTCGGCCAACTGGCTGGATTGCATAAGAGCCACTGGACCCTCTACACTTAGAAAATGTTATAAACTACTAAAGAACTAAAGCTTAGAAAATAAAATTTGTCTGTTTGAACGTTTGATAAATTATTTCAATATTACATATTGTGTTCTATAATTTTTTGGGGTCAAATATAAATATATAGTAATTCTAAGAAATAAGAAAAGAATACAATTGATATAAGAGAAACATTTTATTTGGCATATCAACAAATTCAGACCCCATCCAATTTTTTAGTGTAAGCTGGCAGCTGGCCAGGCTTACTCTGTTGTCGGCCGTTTTGTTGGCAAATCATAAAAATATTTATGTAAATTAATCATTTAAACGCAATGGGATGGACCGCGTTGACTGCTGCTTGGGCATGCTCCACACGCGCTCACTTTGCTAAAATCCATCGGCTACACTGCCCAACAAAATACAAATTATGGCCGGCGGGATTAGCATAAATTGTGAGTTCGTTCGATCGTTCGTTCGGTCGGTTGGTTGTTTCCAGTCCGATCGATCCGATGCCCATAAGCATACGCATATATAGTCGTGGCTTTCGGACACGGCCGTGTTTTTATTTTCTGGCCTGTCGTCGTCAGTTTGGCTGCCAATCCAATCCCTCGTTTGATCGGGTAGATCGGTAGATCGCTTATATGGTCTATGGTATATGCCCGACTGATAAGCCTCACTTTATTTATTTTTTTGTATTTGGTTTTTAGCATGCCAAACATGGCTGCGCTCGCACGAAATTCCAACTCATATTTATGTCAAAATCCATCAAAGCTTATGTCGCCGCACAATCCGTTAGGGGCAATGCCAATCCAGCGTATCTAGTTGGAAATCGGCTTTTGGCTTTTAGTTTTTAGTTTTCGAGTTTTCGAGTTTCGGTGCCCCGAACAATGCTACGCAAATCCGACAGTGAAATAATGTGGGGACACCGGCGATAACTCAAATAAATAAGAGTCAAAAAAAATGAAAATAAAAGAGAGAGATACAGATACAAAGTCACACACTTTGTATCAGTAAGCCGCACACAATGTTGTCTGCCCGCCGCTGAATGTTGAATTCAAAATTAATACATTTCAATGAATAACAAATGATCTAAATGATTTGTTTAGATCGTTCTCCCGCTCGCAGATCGAACGTCAGTGAAATACGGGTAGTATGTGGGTTGACCGGCCAACGAAACAAGTTTCGTACTGAGCCAACCAAGATCGTGGCCCAGCATTTCCTGCTGCTGCCATTAAATGTTTTTTCTGGAATTATATTCCACTTTTTCAAACCTCTCTACACTGCAGAAAAATTGGAAGGGGTCCAGAAAGTGATTGATTGGGTTGAATAAATAAATTGGTTCATTCATTTAAGAAGCTTTTCAAACTTATCAACATTTGTTAAACAAGTTCTCACATTTCAAGTTGGAAAAGTTAAAGGAATTTCGAATTTCACAATCTACACAAAATTGAATAGTGGAAATAAAAATATTATTTAAGATGCGGGTACTTGTTTTATTATGAGAATAAAAACAAGTTGTTTTAATATGTATAAAAGTATATATTTTTTATATAGATTTTCAGCCGGTGTGCAATCCAAGCAATCTTTAGCTGAGTCAACTTCCGACGTGACAACAGTCAGTCAGCCAGTCGAGCTGCCCCCGAGCGATCTCGAATCTAGGGGGCCGCAACTAAACTTAATCGATTGAAAATTGATTCTTGTAAATAATTTCAGTTGACGTCAGCGTTAATTACATGAACGAAGCGAAAAAAAAAGCACAAATCTTTGGCACGACTCTCTCGAGCTGAATCACTCGAATGCACGTGGCTGATTTATTACATATCCATATGGCTAAATGGCTATATAGCCACATGGCTATATGAGCCACCTCCACAAGCTGGAATCGGAATAATGGGGGTTTGCTGGCCCGAACCTTTTTGCCCATTAGCCCAGCCTTGACCGCCGGCGATGTCAAGTGCCTCAACTGGTTGACAGACTGACTAGAGATAGTCGTACTATATATTTCTGTGGCAGCACAGTGCTCGCCCCCCACGATAATTAGCATATTTTGCGCCGATATGGGTCAGCCTTAGCTGTGCCTCACTGTGCCCGCTCCGAAAACTGGGTTGGGCCGTCAGACAGAGCTCTTTTTAAGGCGGCGGAGGAGGGCAATCGGCTCTCGAATCGCAAACCTTAAACTGAACTATAATGGAGAGGAGTACATTAAACGGTAGGTACTTATTTGAAATGAATATAAAATGCAAAGCCTTTAAGTTTATTTGATAAATATAAATACTTTTTAAACTCTTGAATATGTTTGTTATCCAAAGAAATTCCACAAAAAAAGAACCCGAAAAACACGTTGTAAAAAAAAATTATGATAAACCAAAAATTCCTGAAATCTGAACAATTTTTTGACCGTTAATTTTTGTTTTTATCAGTGACATTCTCTACTTTTCCTCTTCTGAAGCGAAAGAGTTGCTTTGTCTTGCATGATTTATAAACATTTTCAAATTGAGTTTGCTATAGTTAAAAGCTTCTTTGTATTTTCAATCGTTTCAATTTGTTTCCTTTGATAACATAACAATACTATTAATAAATTGTGTTTATTCAATGTTTGTATTAATAAAAGAAAAAAACGTTTTGAATACAGTTATGTCTGTAAGCTTATACTTTAGGGTATCTTTATTCCGATCACTACTGAACTGAAAATGGTCAATTTCCCAAAGATTTTCTCCTCCGTCCATCGGATTACTGGAGTAGGTACTATGCGGGTTTTCTCTCTTCGACTTAGTTAGTCAGCAGTTTGGGTCGTGTCAACGCGATTGGCATTTAACGAGCTTCAATGCTTATAGGGTTAACATTTTGGCATAAGTACACACCCAGTTTCCACTTTTTTCCCTGTGTTTTACTACGTTTTTTCCGTATTTCTGCCGGCACATATATCTGTGTCGCCCATCTCTGCTCTGGGCCCAACTATCCAACTATCCCCGGCTATCTATCTAACTATTGTGAGTACTTGTCATTTAGTTTACTATTTACTGTCACGCTTTTGAGTGCCCCTCGAATGGAAATAGAAATGGGAATGGGTCTGCGGCCGAAGGGGCTTGGTTAACTGGGAAGGGCTCCATATATATATATATAGAGAAGTGTAGGGAGTTGAAGGGGACAAAGACTGACCTGCGATAGAGCCGGCTTAGTTGGCCAGTGAATCAGAAAAAATTACCAAGGCAAATGTCATTATAGGCGTTAATAAAAGCAAACCTGTTCTTTAGTAAATATTTTATTTATTGGAAATGCAATTTATTATGAAAACAAAGCTAAAAGCTCATATTAAATATGTTTTATATTCAACAGAAAATTTTGTATTAAAATAAATATTATATAAATAACATGTTTTACTTTCATATTTACAGAAAATGAATAATGATTAAATTAATTAACAAGATTAAATTCTGAAATCAATAAATGTTTCAATTGTTATAGTTGTTTAGATTTCAAATCTTTTCTTCATTTCAGATGTCACAACTGTTCTAATATTTAATTTCTTAATTTTTGTGAATTTTTCTAAACCTGTTTATTTTTTAGATTTACCAATAACAATTTTTTTAATGTTAAGAAGAAGCTTTTGAAAATTGTCTGGTTAATATTTCCCTGCCAAGCACGGCCCATTCTGCCGATGTTTGTCAAACATCAGGCGTTTGTAAAGTGGTCTTGGGCACCTTTTCTGTTGACAAACTCCTGCTCCTCCTCATCCTCCCGATCCTCTGCTTTCCAGCTGCTGTCCCAAATGTCCGTTCCAGTTGTCCAACGTCCAATGTCCAATGTCCAGCGATGTTGGTTGTCTGGCGACAAAAACGGCGCGTCAAAAGCAAACATTTTGCGCGGCACAGTTTTGATTTATGAGCTGAAATTAAATTAACTGCTGCAACAGCAGTGCCGAAGTAAAGGAATTTAAAGCGCTGAAATTAACAACGCAATGTTGTTGGCCCGGTCGCCATCCTTTTGGCCAACTGACAGTGGCAAATATGCTGCGAAAATTGCGAAAGCAGCAAGGAAACCGTTTCCTCGTTTCATTCCCATTTCGCACGATAAAGTAAATATATATTTATTTTTATTTTTCCTCCTTCATTTTTTCAGTTGATAAAATTATCATTGCGGCCTTCGGTGTGTCAATGCAAATTGTGTGTATTGTGGTTATTATTTTTTTTATATTTCTCTGCTTATCGAGCATAGCAAAAAAATTAAATAAAAATGGAATGCATTTTCACTATCAGCTGGGTTCAGTTTCGAGGTTTTCTTTTGTCATGTCCAGACAGTTATATCGTTTAAAATAATTTTTTATAAATTCCTTTTCTGTGCCTTTTTATATTTCTGAAATTTGCGATTGCAGAGAAAAAAAAATCTCTTAGTGGATAATATTGTTAGGGAAGAAATCAAAGTACTTCTTTCGCAGCTTTTCTGTTATTACTTAGAAGATTTGTCTTAACCCTTTTTAACCTCTACTAAACTAGTAGCAATCTTCTCCTTCATTCACTTCTCAAATTACAATTAGGCAATTCCCACAGTACTAACCAATCAACAATAAACAATTTCCATTAGTCGCGAGACAACTTTAGCAATTAGCAAATCGAAAGTGGAAGCTTTTTAGCCGGAAAAAGAGAGGGATATATACATTTATAGAGCGAGACGGAGCACCCACATCCACATCCAACGTTATCTGTTCTCGACAATTAATTGAAATTGATATTTAGTTAGATTAGAAATAATGTTTGTTAATTTATGACAAGTACTTTTGAGTGGCTCGGATCAGCCGCACCTCGTTCACCCTTTTCCAGCTTTGAATTGGTGATTTAAAAATGCCTTTCCATATCTTATCGTTCTGTATATTTAGCTCTTTAATGCTTTTCCTTTCTTTGACAATCGATATCGTGTGTTTTTTTTAAATAGAATATGTTTTACATGTTTGTTTGTTTGCTTGAAATAATATTTTGTTTTTATAACGAGCCATAATAGGCTTTTAAAAACCGTTCATATGTATGCTTTTAACGATTTACTTTTAGTTTTGATGTATTTAAAAGCATTTGATACACATTATTCTTAAAGTATGGATATGGAAAGTAGTATGGATTAATAAATAATAAAATCAAAAAAATTTTAAAAAAATCTCCTCGTTTTTCGTCATAGATTTAGTTAAAATTTCGAATATAATTTCTTACCAAGCTAACAAAAGTCCCTTGCGCTTTTGGTTTTTTTATTTAGCACTTTTATGGACAACTCTAGATTTTATAGTTGCTTGAAGTTACTATAAAAAGTTCGGATAAACATCACTGCTGAATACAATTCTGATTACCGCTGTTGTATTAACTCTTACTTTCCCATCATTTGCAACTTCCTTTAAGTTTCTCCAGCATTTTCTCACCGCTTTAAAACGCACTTTTTGTTTGTTTTCGCCTTGCTTTTTGGGATTTTAGCATTTACTTTGTTGTTTTTTGGTCTTCCAAGAGCACGGTATGAAGTTCCTACGAGTTTATAATGAACGTAGGAACTCTATACCTCGCTGATGGCAAAAACCAGGTAAAAAATATCTTGGCAGCGTTTCCCTTTTCTTTTTCACAAAACTCGAACCGTAAAGAGGCGAACAACAACTCACATACCAGCTTACAAAAATTCCAACTCTTTTTTTCTGTAGTATTTTAGTTGTTGTTATTCTGCTGATGGGATTCTCTTCATGGGATTTGTGCTGGGGGAATTTCTAGCTTGATGATGATGACGACGACGGTTATATATGGTTATATATGGTCCTCCGTCGTTTCTCGCTTGGCAGCTTTTTCAGCGTTGTTTTTTTAGGGCTTGGTGTTTTATTTTTTTTTGTGCTGGATCAACTTTTTGTTTGATTGAATTTAAATAATTTTTAAATCATAATTAATAATCTAGAAATGCGTCTGTGGGGGTTTTATTGCTATTATTAGTTTACGAAACAACAGTTTTTTTTATGCAAAATATGATTTCTGTGGAAAGTTTTTCGACTAATTTTTTATTTGTTGATTTTTACTTTTTATACTTTAATGATGCCCTTTTGCGGGTTATATATATTTTTTTTATTGTTAATGAAAGAAATAATTTTTTTATTTGTTTGTTGACGCAGCTTTTTTCAAGGATTTTTTAACGAGCGCAGATATATTTCAGGAAATTTAACTTTAAATTTTAACCACGAATAAATATTTTTGGGTTTTTATTTTCGACGATTTTGTTAAATTATTTTTTGTTGTTTCAATGGTCTTTTTTAAATATATTTTTGTCCAAAAAGCGGTTTAGTCAATAGGTTTATGGGCTTTATGAATTTATTCACGTTTAGATGTGTTTATATTTCGTTTTATTTCTATTTGATTTTGTTAATTTTTTAAATTTATTTTCCAAGCTGTTTTAATATTACTATTTCCATTATTTCTATGCTGACTTTTTTTGAAAATACTACATCTTTGGTTAGGTTAAGCTTTTTAATCCGTTATTATTATAAGGCAAAATTTTCCTTTGATTTTTCTTTATCACTTGTAAATTGTTTCGAGTTTTTACGAACTTTAAGTCAAGTCACGCGAGTCGAACACACGGAGCGCTTTGCGAGCGTTTGATGCGCGACTTTGGAGCTCCGAAACCTAAATGAAAAAAACGCAGCGAAGTCGCGCAGAAAATAACTCGAAGTGCGGCGATGTTCGACGTCGTCGCTGGCAGAGGCAGCGACTGCGACAGAGTCGGGTGGCAGCGACGTCGACTGCGGCAAAGCGTAGGTTTTTGATCGCGCGACTTTAAACGCGCGCAGCAACTTCTAACAAAGTCGCGCGCAGCTATGAAGTGTGTTTTTTTTAGAGTATCTGTGTTTTTTAGATTGTGTTTTTGTTCTTTCTTTGTGTGAGTGTTGCAGTCGCTGACTGCGTCGACGTCGACTGCGGCTTATCGCTATCAATCGATAATCGGCAGATTAGAAAACGCGTCGACGTTCACTTGTGCACGTAAGCAGCGCTACAAGTGCAGCACACACACTTATAAACGACTATATCTGGCCGATCCAGTAATTCCAGTTTTTTCTCTTTAGTTAACGAAGAGCTTTACCGTTTGAAAAACAACCGTACAATTTGTTTTAAAAGTCTTTTTTAAAACGAATTCTAATTTTTTTGAATATTAGTAAATTATTTAGAATTTTCGTAGTTATTTTTACTTCAAAAACCGGAGACGTACGTCCGCGTGTTGCTGCCATCGAAAGCGTTTTAAATCGTTTGAAAGCGGAAAACAGAAACGCACGCGGTTTCGTGGTTGGCTGCTGTCGACGTCGCTGCCGTGGTGGGTTTCTTTGGTGGTGGTTTTCCGTGATGGTGAATTGCCCACTTGTAGCCGCTGCATTGCGCACACATACTGCCAAACACCAAATGCATATTTTGTATCTTTGTCGCTCTGTTGCCATGTAGCCCAACATGACGCAAGCAGCGGTGAAAGCTGCTCTGCCAACGCCGACGTCGCTGCTGGCTGCGTGGGCGCCGCACGCGTTTTCAACTCAATTAATATCACCAAAAATCCAAAATTGCTATACAAAAATACAGAAAAACAACAGTATTTTAATTAATGAAACGATTAAAAAGTTTTTGAGCCAAAAAAGGCATACACCGAAAAAAAATTCACTTAAGGGGCATTTCAAGGCCAAAAGCATTCGGCCAGTAACAAAAACAAAAGCAACCGAGTTCGATGATCTGTTTACGATTGTTTTTGCTTGGCATCGTCATCGCTTTCTTGTTGTTGTTCTTGGTCGTTGCCTTCGCTGGAAAAAAAAACAGCAACAAAAAACAGCTAAGGGCAAAATATTGGTAACCAAACAAAGCCTTCAGGCTGAATTGTAAAAAGTTAAGAAGAAGTTGATTTTGCTCAAAATAAATTGAAATAACTTTGTTACTAACTAAAAGCTAAACTGTTCATATATTTTTTACCATTTTCGATTACTTAACTGCGTTCGTTAAAAAAATTTACTAATTTTGGGAATGTTTTATAAACCTGTGGGTAGCTTTTCCCTATTATTATGGCGTCCACCGTGCCTAGGCCTATCTCCGTCGACGTCGCTGCTGGCGTCGCAGTCGCCGTGCGTATGTACAGTAGCTTGGCCTCAAGTGTATTTTCACAGATATTTATCTAGATACGCGCGACGAGCGCGCGCTTTTTTGTAGTCCTCGTTGTCGTTGTTGTTGCTTTTCGTATTTACCGTAAAAGTAAACAAGCGATATACAACAAAAACAAGAAAAACTCGCACACGACTTTTGAAGTGCCCACAAGAAAAACAACAAAAACCTTTGGCAAATAAAGATCTACAACAGACAAACTCTTCGTCATCGCGGCAACCGCCTATTTGCGATTAGAATATTCGTAAAAAGAGTATTTTTGAGTAAGCTTACTATAATCAAAAACTCGTAATAAAAGTACGTTTTAAAACCTACAAGATACGTATGTATCTAAGACCATGTAGACAAATATCTTACGAATAATTTGATCATTAGTTTAATGATAAAATTTAGTAAGTTGTGTTGCCTTAAGAAATTCTGATCTTTTTTATAAGGTGATTGAAAAAGCATTTCAAATGCACAAAAAAAAATTGAATAACAAAATTTTTTTTCTTATCGAAAGGGTATATAAAAAACAGATCTTTGATCGCAACTTTCATTATAATTTGAATGTTTTTTTGGCGCGTCGTCGAAATGTTTTTGGCGCCTTTAGGCAGTTTTTTCTGCTGGCTTTATCTGCTTTTTTTCGCATGTTTTTTTTATAGCTCGGCAGTGTGATTAACACCTGAAAACGCGCTTTTTCATTATCAATTTCTGGCACGTGTAAAGTGCAACAACTGCAAGGTCAAAAATCGCCAGAGAAATGAATTTCGATCGTAAATAATCGTAAAAATGCAAGAGTTTTGGGGGCTTTTGTTGCTTTCCGCTTGAAAAAAGCATAATAAAATGTTAACAATAGAGAGAGCAAAACAACAACCTGTTTCCAAGCAGCTCTGACTTTTGTTATTTTTCGTATTATGTGTTTTATTTTTGGTTTTTTGCCATTTTCGCTTGGCTGCGTTGCGTTTTTGAAGGTCAACTTTTGGCTTTATTCCATTTTTTTGACTGGCTGTTTAATGAGCTTGAAAGAGTTGATTTTGATGTTTAACGGATCTGCCTTAAAATCTTCCGCACTTGCGTGTAGTACGTATGTTTGTATGTTCCTAACAAAAAAAAATAAAGCCGAACCAAAGTACAAAAACATGTCCAACAAATGTTGGACAAGCAATTTTGGCGGTCAGAACAAACACGCCACGAGAAATTAGTGACGGGAAAAATACAGAAAATTCATAAGAAAATGTCAATCAATGTCAAAGCCGGCAAAGCCGAAAAAATAAAGACAAAGACAAATGCGGCATGTCTTTGGGTACATGAGCAGCGATTAGCGACAATTTCTGTCCAGTCATAGCTTGATAAAATGGGATAGAGATACATACACCTAAGTTCAATGCTTCAGGAATTAAAAATATGTTAAAAAAAACTTAATAAATGTTTTCAATTTGTTTAGTTTTAATCTAGATTTTTTTACTCATAAATTCTTTTCAGTATCTATCAAAACTTTTTGTATCTTTTACTAATATCTCAACCTCATCTGTGCCCATTGAGTTGGACAACTGAAAGATGCGATGATGCAATCGCATTTAATTAACAAGCGAAGAAGAAAGAACTTTGCTTTGTGTCAGGTTCTCTTGACCAAAACCGAAAAATGGTAAATGGAAAAAAGACTACGGAATCCCAACGAGAGATGAACATAAATTTCAAATTTATGACTGCCACTTGAGCACAACACACACACACACACACGCACACACACACACACTCGAGAGAAAAACTTATGGACACCTTGACAGGGCCCCTAGATTTATGAGAGGCCCATACAATTCATACATCAACAGCTCTTTTCATAATCTCCCCACAGAATTGTATTTCTTTTTATTTCTTTTATATTTCCTTTTCAATAATAGAAGTTGGAAAATATTATAATTTCCCTTCGTTCCATTGAAATAAATCTTTTGGGGCATTGCGTAGGCGCAACATCACACACTCACACACATACACAAAACACACACATCATTTGGGCCACGCCCTGTTTTTTCTACTTTTTTTTTTTTGAGGTTCATCCAAGAGCCTCATGAATTTCAATGAAACTTATGACAATAAATCAGATGGGCCTTAACTGAAATGAACCCAAAGTCTAACCAAATTTTTCAAATTTGTTTTTCGGTAACTCTTTGGCAATCCAAAAAAGGTTTCTTACACTCAACGGAAAATTCTTAAGGTGATTTATTAGGCGACAAATCATTTGAAAGATTTCCAAAAAAGCCTTCACCTTTTATAAATAAAGTTTTTAAGCAATTAAGTATTTTTTCTTAGCCCAAAGTGCAGATTTATAAAAATTAATCAAAATTATAGCTTATGAATGTGTTAATTACAAGCTTTGAAAATAATTTCAATTATGCCATTAGAAGATAATGATTAATTATAGCCCAATATGAAATGGGTTTTGCCGTTTAATGTGATAATTGTTTTGCCATTAAAAGGTTAATTTACCCAAGAGGTAATTCAGCTTTTTTTTTTGTGTGTACGGTTAAAGTGAAAGAGAGAGCTAGAGTCTGGAAAATTTGCAAATGCCTCTTATCTCGCTCATTTACACACAGATCTGTGTCAGCAGACAAACTTTTTCTCGTGCAGAAAGTTTGTGGCACACTTTTCCAACACTTTTCGGTTTTTTCCTTAATTTTTTTGTATTTTTTGGGGTGCCACAAGGCGACGCCTACAATCATGTGTGAGTGTGTGTGCGAAGGACAAACATGGCTGTCAAACGCCTGAAGTCCTGGCCAAGAAAACCACCACAGACACACACACGTATGAGAGAAAAGTTATGAACTACCCAGGCGAAAGGCAGCAAAAATTGTAACACATATGAACGAGAGGGAGGAAATGCGGATAAATCGGGGGTGACTTTCCCCACAGTTGTTTTGGCCCTCGTATTACTTATTGATTATTGTTTTCCTTCGGCCGAGGAAAAGTGAGGAAAATGGGGAGAGTGACGCATTTCCTGCCATCCCTTTCGCACATTGCGTGCCTATTTAACATTCACATGTTTTTCCTTTTTCCTTTCCTTTTCCTCCAGGGGAAATGTCTCATAAATATGATTTATATAGCCACACACACACACAAATACCCCGCAAATAGGAGTACATATAATTGCGTGTAGAAATCAGATATAAAAAGTGTGTACTTTTTTGTGCCAGCTTATTAAGACTGAGAAGATCTCGTTGTCGAGGGCCCTCCTCGCATTTTTGGCCAGTCGAGGAGGTGTCTCGGGGCTTTTCGAGTGCAGTATTAACAAAACTGCAAACCAAAGGCAAACACTTGCTGCCAAAAATAAACGATATGTGTATCGTTCCACTCCCTCGCTCGTTCGCCCGTTCAATCGACCATGTCAATCATATGACGGACGAAAAGCAGATTGAAAATAAAATTGAAAATAAATTCATTTGGGCTTGCCTTTTGTGTTCCAACGAGAGCACTGGAAAAACTTGGTTGCAATTGTGATGTTGAAAATATATTGTCAAACCTTAAAAGGAAATAACTATTCCTTGGCAATCCTAGTTTTATAAAACTTTTCTATTATAAAATTTACAAATATTTTATAAACAGACAGGAACCAAATTCTTTTGTCTTTGTAAATTTATAAAAATTATTAATAATTTTTTGGAGGAGCTTATATGGATTTATATTTCAAAAGTATTGCTTGATCTTGCTTGCATTTTCCCGCAGTGCACTATGTTTATTTTGCAATTGAAAGTCAATTGAGCAGAGCTGGCTTTTTTATATTCAGTTTCAGTTTCCTTCTGAGGCTGAATTCGGGTAACCTTTTTTTGGTCCTTTTCCTGTCCTGCGGTTCCTTGATGTAAATGCAAATTCACGCAGCTGCCCGAAAGTTGCCCCAAGTTTCCTCCTTCCGCCCCCCCCGCCGAAGCTCCTGCCCCTCGCCTTTGTTCCTGTCATGCATTTTAGCATTTTAGCAATTTGCAAATTTACAAGTTGCTCGCATTGGGTGGGAAAGAGAGGGAGACACACGCGTGCATGTTTAATATCAAATTATGAAGCGGCTTTTACCCTTTTCCGCAGCACCACCGCCGCCGCCGCCGCCCAGAAAAACCCCTGTGATTGTGCAGTTTTTGAAGTGCGTTGGCAACATTTGTATGCAAATTGCTTTCGGCGAGTGCATGTGCAACATGTTGCCTTTGTGGTTCCCCAGTTCTTCTCCAGCTCTGCTTCCTCAGTGTGCTCTTCGGATGGGTTTGCTCCGGGGTTTGGTGGGGTATTTGGAATGGAAAAAAGTACGACGGGTACGACTTCGCCGACTGCCAACTGCCGACTGCCGTCGTCTGCCTGCAAATAAAGAACGCATTGAGTTTTTATTAGTTTTTGATGATGCTCATAAAACGACGCGACGGCAGCGATGATAAAAATCAGTTTGCTTAAGTAAAGTGAGGCATTTAGAGGGTAGGAAGAGTTGAATTGATTGTTCGAAAGTAAGCGTTGCTAAAATGCAATAAAAATAAAGTGAGCTCACTCCACTGACTCTTCGCCTTCGCCTTTTGCCATTTGATGGCGTTGACAAGTGGCCAAAGTGCCGATGTGGGGCCAGAAGTGTCTGCTCTGTGTTCCCTGGTAAATGGTGATTCAAGCGATATGTTCGAGGTCGTATCTGTTTTCTGGGTATTCTGTATTTCAAAAGTCTATGAACTGCGCACTCCTTCACCTGAGGAAATCTCTCGGGTTACTTTCATAAAATAAGCCCCAATGCATTCCCCTATAAACCGAAGATGCCACAGTTCCCTAAACTTTTATGGTGCGCCTATTATAGTGCCCAGCCTATCGGAATTTAATGCCTTATAAGATGAAATAGCTTCGGCCTTTGGGTCGAAAAACTTTTCCATTGTATAGTTTTTATAGCTGATTTTATTTGCCATGTAAATGTGCAGTGTACGAGTGTATCGAGGTTCAATAAGCTTTTACCAAGGAAAAATCAATAAAAAATATTTTTATTGGCCATTACACCAACGCCAGAATTAGCTAATATCATGATGACCATCCCAAGGCGTAAGTAGTCAATAAAATACTAAAAATAAAAGGTTATTATCTGAACTTAAGCTGGCATTTTTTGAGGAATTAAAAAGCTATTTTTGGTTTTAAATAAAATAGGGTTTCTCTTAGAGTAGCTAACTAAAAATTTAAAAATGTTAATAACATTTTATTTTAGCAGATACAAAATAAATCTTAATACGTTCCAATTTTTTTTCCAGAATTTATTTTCTTTGGTTCAAAATCAGGTTGTGCCATCATCATTATCAAGGACAGTTCATTGTCCCTCAGCATAATGATAATGACTGCTGGCCGCGCAGGCTGCATGTCACACATCATAATAATTACGGCTATTGATGGGCCCTCTGCCACTTGGCCTAAACCATAAGGTGTAAAGCAGAGGTGCCCGAGTGCCTTATAAACAATTACGCTAATAGTACCATCGGCCACAAGAACTATAACGTTTAATGGACTTTTAGCTAAATTAACAAAACCAACGGAAAGAGAAAGAGAGAGAGAGCAAGAGGGAGAGAGAGTATAGCTAATCGCTGACCAGACGCGCCCCTCTTTTCGCCTAATGACACAACATTTCATTAAAAATAATTTCACAAAGCATTTGACGTATTACATGCAATTGGCATTTCTAATGACAAAACAGCTGTGTGTATATTTAGTCTAGTCTGCCATCCCTATCTGTATCTGTAATTTGTGTTTGTTTTGTTGCCGCGCTTGTTACACATTTGTTTAGCTCGTTTTAGCTTATTCCTACGTAGACAATCTAATCTCTGCGAAAATCGCTGTTAAAACGTTTTTAATTTCCGATCGCCGCGGCACAATCGCTTAATTATAGTGCCTGTTGCAGAAAAAAAAAAAAAAATTGATTTACTTGTAGATCTCTTATCAGGCATTTTGAGCTTACATCGATTTTCCCAGCATTTTCGAACCAAAAACCCGTTTGTCTTAAACAAATCTTTGGACTCCATTAGGCATTCTTTTTGGTTTTATTTATTTTTTATTTTTTTTCTAGATGCTGTCAATCAAGTGTCAGATGGGAAGCCATCAACAATATCGTATTTCTGGCCTCAGCAAACTAATTAAATTACGAGGGAATATCTATGTGTGCTAATCGTGTTCATAATGATGTTGTTGCATTTGCACTGGCTAATTTTAAACAAGTTGAAGTTGCCGTTTCTGCTCGTAATATATTTTAATTTATGCTCGGTTGGCAATACTTTTGGCCAGGCTCGCTGGCTCGCTGGCACGCTGTAAAATTGCGCGTAAATAAACATTAGTTTTAATTTAATGAATTAAATTCCAACAGCGAGAAGGAAAAACGACGGCCGGCCCATCACTTGAAAGTCACCAGGGTGACTCACGATATCTGGCCAAAGTTTTCTGCCTGCTGGCGAGTTAGTCGCCTTGGCACAATAAATAAATATGTAAGAGGTTTCCCTGGTCGATTATGCGCATAGTGCAAGTGTTTGCCACACATTGTTTATACCAACACCCCGGGCTGATACATATATGTATCTATAGATATTTCTGCGTATATATAGTACAGCTGATGCATTGCACAAATGCAAATCGCACAGAAAGTGGTTGTCATTCACAGAAAGTGTCATTGCAGTTCATTCAGGAATTGAGTAATAGCACTATCGATTCAATTTCTATTTCAAGATATTTCAAACTTAAATTTCACTTAAGAAACAATTAATGTTTTAATCAAATGTTATTAGGCTTTTAAAACTTTAACTATCAAACCAAACTTAAAATATCATTAGCTTAAAATTAGCTACTACCTAAATTTTATTTCATCGCATTTAAAACGCAAATTTAATTGTCTGAATATTAATCACCGACCATAAATTAAATTGCCGTTTTCAACAAATATAATTTCATTACCAATAATTTACTTTTTACGGGCATTTCAGGTTGAAACTGCAGAATTGTTAATATTTTTTCTGTATAATCAATAGGTGACTGTCCCTTTTAATTAAGTTTATCACTTGACTGGGCCTTTCATTAAATGAGCCAGTACTCGCTCATTAAATTAAAGCAGCCACAACAGTGCAGCATAATTAACTATGCAAGCAAAAACTATGTACAATTAAATTAAGCCAAGCTTTTTTGCTACTGTTGCAGTTGATGATGTTGATGTTGCAGTTGGGCTTATCAGGCCATGCATCGCCTGTTGCAGGTTGCTGTTTGCTGGTTTGAAGTTGCAGGTTGCAGGTTGCTGGTTGCTGGTTGCTGTTTGCCAATTGCAGGTATTTCCTGTCAGTGAGATTTTGCATAAATAATTTTTGATAATCAAAGTTTGCGACGGCCACATAAATTTAATTAGCGGCATATGTTGCATTTAATTAAGCAGTAAGCTCGCTGACTTAGTGCGTCTAACTTTTGCTGTTGGCGGTGGTGCTTTAATTAAAATTCACACGATGTGAAGTGCTCATTTCGTAGGCCAACTGCGTGCCTCGGTTCGTTTGCCATTATTGCAACGCTCTCGTATTTGTATTTTTTTTTTGTATTTTTTTTTTCCTGCCTCCCCTTCATGATTTTGTTGCGGCTGCATTATTATTATAATTTTTCGCTGTTGCTTTGTATTTTATTTTTGTTTTCCTTTTATTTTGCCTCCTTGTCGGTTTGCATTGCATTGGATTGCATAAGCAGCCTGTTGCTGCCGTTTTTCTAATGCAAACTCATATATGCGGCATGCATAATTAGCAGCCTCTCACAGATACACTCGCATTTGAATTTTCATTTTTATTCATATTACCAACAATAAATCCGTAATGAAAAGTAGGGGAAAACGCATACGATTCAGCCCTCTCGCTCTCTTCTCGCTTTAATGAGCCATTAAGCTTTAGATTTCTGTGTTTAGATACGGCCCACTGTGGCTGAGAATACGCGCTGCCCATTTCCTCGTATCGAATTAAGTTATTAGTAATGCTTCGGCTGGAAAACTGTGTGCCAGCGCATAGAAATATTCTCGCTGATACCGAGAAAATTCGTTGGGAAATATGGATCAGATATGGAGATACAGTTAGGGGAAACTATGTGCCAAGCATCTGAACGGGAAAATATATTGCGATTCGATCGGAAAGATACATTTTTATACAATTAGGTTTTATTGTGCTCTAGGTGCGTTTTGCTTTGGAATTTACTGGAAAGTCTTCACTTGCTATTAAATCGAAAACGAGATACGAGCTAGTTCTTAAAGAGTTCTGTAATAGCATTTGTTCCTATAAAAATCAATTAATTTGTATTGATATATCACAATGACTTTGCCATATGTAATTCCCTAAGCAAATATATTTACCTATCCACCAAATTCACTTTCCCGCTTGTCATTCGGCCAACTGACAGCCATTTAATCCAAAGCAATCAGGCCGACAGCCCAGAGAACTTCATTAAATATTTCGCCACAATTACGGCCGGCAAAAAAAAAAAAAAAAAAACAAAAATGTGGCAAATATTTTAGCGCTTGATTTTGAACTGTCAAAGTTTGTTTATTCCCTTCACACCCATTCTGGCTCTCTTTGTTTGCTTTTAGTTAATTTTAGGTCGAAAACTATGTTGCATGTGAAGATATCTGTCCAAACAGGGACCAGAAAAATAATAATAAAATAATCAGCAACAAAACATGAATAGTATTACAAATACCAGTTAGACAAAGTAAACAAACGCGGGGAGGCGGTGAAAAAAATACCGGGCAGACGGTCTGACGACAACCGACATGTGAGTGTAAAAAGTATCTGTGTGAGCTGCTCTGCTCTGCGCATGTGATTGTGAGTGTGAGTGCGAGTGTGGGTATCTGTGAAAGTCATGCAAACTAACTGTCAGACTGATAGATAGACGTTCTGAACCAGAGCAGCAGCAGCGATAGCGATAGGGAGAGGTGCTGAGAGGGCACTTTCAGACAACAGACAAACAAATAATAATAAAATAATAATTGTTTGTCAACATTCGTTTAGCATGTGGTCTGGTCTCCGGCCCATACGAATATGTACACCGGAAAAACAGATCTGCGATGGAAAGTTGTTGACTTGAGATGAATTTATGTGTTGATAATAATTATCAGATAATCAGAAACGTGTTTAATTCACATAATATTATTATAACTGGGTTAAACATGCTTACTGTTATCTAGAAGATATGGGTTTATTTCTCTCAGTGACCGTTAAAAAAAAAACCGAAAGAAAAAAAGTAAGAGAACTGAACTGAGCATGTGGAAAAAAGGGGTGTAGTTGTTACAATTGACAATTGTCTGCATTTTGGCATGAAATGTCATATATATAGAGTTG